CCTATAGTATATACATCTCTTGCTCAATCTGTATATTTCTATTGTCCTTTATTTTGAATAATAGACCTCTGCCTTGGATCATTTTAAGATATATTAAGATTCTATTCACAGTTTTCATGTGCTTTTTTGTTGGATTATTTCTGAACTGACTCACAACACTAAAACAGAAAACCTGATGTCAGACTGAAATATGTGGGAAGTAGATGAGTTGCCTACGAATCTTTGATATCATTCCCATTCACAAGTGCACTGCTTCTCCATTTCCTATCTTCTTGGTTGGATCCTTTGGATTTTTTGTAGGTTGACAACCAAGCATACATGTCTCCTTTAACAAATCTAGGTTGAGAGATAAATATACTTTTCTTAGATCATGCCACCTTTATCTAAGACAATATCTTAGATGTTTGAGGTTTTTGATCCTAAAATCTTTGGCCAAAAGCTTCTTTAGTCTCAATATTTCCTCATCATAATCACGTGTTAAGATAATATTATCAACGAATAGAATTATAACTGCTATCTTCTTTCATGGAGAGAACTTCACAAACGGTGTGTGATATACTTGGCATTGAGTGTATCCATGATTGATCATAGTCTTAGTAAATCCGTCAAAAGTCATACGTGATTTTCTCAACCTGCACACCTTGTTAGTGTCAGAACAATTTTTAAGTCTTGGTATTATCTCTATATACACTTCTTCTTACAGATTACCATTTGAAAATACATTTTTGACATCCAATTAATGTAGTGGCCGATCTTGATTTAAGGCTAGAAAGAGAACTCCATTAGCATTGAGTTTGACCGCCGGAGTAAAGTTTTCTTAGTAGTCAATTTTATATGACTGAGTAAAGCTTTTAACAACTAGGCGAGCTTTCAACCTATCTACGTTTCCATCAACCTTATGTTTTAAGGTGAAGACCCACTTGCACCAAATTGGTTTCTTTCCAAGTGGAATATCTAAAATGTACCATTTTTCTCCAACGCTCTAAGCTCTTTATTTAGAGCCTTTTCCCTTTTTTGACTCTTGATGGCCACTTGAATGGAACGAGGAACCTGCACACCATCAAGAGTTGAAATAAACTTTTGATATGATGGTGACAAATCATTATATCTTTTAGATGTGCCAATTGCCATAAAGAAAGTTGTTAGAACTGCCGAAAGTCATCCTATCTATGAATTTGTCTCATATATTAGATCTCTGATATCCTATTAAGAATAGTTGAATATGTAATTCATTAAATGTCACAACTCTTTATATATAGATTTTTTAGAATAGAAAAGTAAATAAACAATTAACTACATATGGTGTATTTTACTTTTATGCACTTATGCATAAAAATACACTCTCTTTAGCAATATTGAATACCCCATGCATTCCACTAATTTCTTTCCTTTGGGTAGATTCACCACTCCCATGTTTGATTCTTCTCTAGAGCTTGCATTTTAGCTTTTATACATTTTTCTATTCCTCACTAGTTGAAGTTTCAGATAATGTATTAAGATTAGATATTGTATTTAGATTCATTAGATATTTTTTATAAGACACAGAACATTTCCAAATGATACAAAGTTCGAGATTGGGTAGAGTGAATATTTACTGCATTCTCTTGTCCATTTTTTGAGTGCAATGGGTATATTATATGAAAAGATAAAAAGTTCTTAGAGCTTACCTCATTTCTACTACCCGACTTGGATTCTTGAACTTGCTTTGGATTAGCATCCGACTTTTCCGTTCTTGAGTCCACTTGATAGAATCGTGGGTTCTATATAATTGAACATTTTGTTTCATTTTTTTTATTTTTCTTTTTCTTTTTCTCACGGTATGTTTTCAGATGTATCTTTTGGTGATACGTGTTTTTCAAGTGTATCTTGTGGTCTTTAGTTTTCTTTTATTCTTTCTGAGGGTGTAGTATTTAAGAGTAGGGGAATATCAAATAGAAATAAGTCAGTTTTATCTTCTAATAAACTCTCTTTCTGAAGATAAGGTTTATTGAAAAACAACTCAGTTTCTATAAAAGTAACATTAGCAGATACATAGAATTTCTGGGTAGGAGGAGGATAACATATGTATCCTTTCTAGGTTAGTGAGCACCCCCCAAAACACACATTTGATGGCCCTAGGGTCAAGTTTCCCTCATTGAAATTAATGTATATGAATACAGGTAACACAACTAAAGACTCTAGAAATAAGGTTATTTGAACTTTGGGAAAGAAAGTAGTTAGAACTTCTATGGGACTCAAAGGTCTAGTATCCGAGATGGTAACCTGTTGATAAGGTATGTTACGGTCAAAGCAGCTTTTCCTCAGTAAGGGCATATGGTTTGAAACAAAAACGTATGGGTAGTTGGTAAGCGGGTGATTGTTTTTTCGTTTTGCCACTCCATTTTGTTGTGATGTATAGACACAAGAATACTCATGAGTGAATCCTTTACTTTGAAAAAAAGAGGATAATGTTTGATTAAAGTGGTTATG